TTTTTTTTTTTTTTTTTTTTTTTTTTTTCTGTTTTTGGGTCCGCGTTCGGCCCGAACGGCCGAACGCATCCCCAAGGGGTCCCATACGTTCGGGCGTTCGGCCCGTCCTGAACGCCGGTTACCCTGTCCTCTTCTCTCTCTCTGCCTACGGTTTACCGGGCAGTTCTGTTTGTGACGATATATATATTTATTTTTTATTTCTTATTTTTTTTGTTATTGGCTCGCCTTGGCGAGTACTATTCCTGGGCGACTTTGGTGGCAGCGACTTATTTCAATTTTGTACTTTCAAACTTTTGATTGATTTGTGTCATGTTTGAGTTTCTTCTTTGATCTGTCCTACATTCCCGTCAGCATGCCATTTCAAGCCATGACCTCTTATTGGGCGAGGAAGATGGTAATCTTTAGCATTATCTTGCACAAGAGGGAAGACCACTAGTACCTTTGTCGAGTGGGAAAAAAAGGGGAAAATAGCGGGGCTCGGGTGTGCGTCCGACCTCTTAGGAGGCCGAAACGGAACTACAGCCGCTGATCAGATTTATCAATCGCAGTTCTCGTGGTGCCCAACCTCCAATTTTTTAGGAAAGCTACTTTCCCAACACTGGTGGAGGTACTAGTGGTTAAAAAAAAAAAAAAAAAAAAAAAAAAAAAATCATTTCTTGACGTGTGCACGTTATGCTTGCGTGGGGGGAGGTGACTTGCTAATCTCCTCTCTATCGTTCGTCAGAATACTTACAGATGTTGCGAATGGCGAGTAATAGTTTTCGAACTCTATACTATAGAATGTACCAATTAGATAGCGGACGAGAACAGTTCGGTATGTGTGCATGCGTTTTGGATACTTTTGGTTAACTCTTAAGTAACAAAAGGGTTGCTCGACTCTTGCTAAAGAGGAAATCGCTTTGATTGAGCGTGGAACGATTTTTAGATATACCATTTGTTCTCCAGGCAAGTATGTGTTCGATGTTTCCTTAATAGGAAATAGTTTCAGCTGTACTTATGTATAATCTTTCCTTCGAGCAATGATGGGCTCTATCTTTCGAATGCGAAATCTCATCAAATTGCAGTGTGCACAAAACGTCTTTCTTGTACTTTCAAGTCGTTGGCACACTTTTTTCTTAATCCGTTTTGCATGCTTTCTTATGGGTATCAGTATGTGAGAATGTTAGTCATTTGTGTGTTAGTGTTTGACCCCTGTTCAATTGACTTTTGAATGTGGGCCTTTGTATGGTGGTTGCCAAGACAATACAATTATCAGGTTGAGAAATAAATGCTAGATATGTCCCTCCAAGCTTTAACAAATTGAAAAATGTCACGTTGCGCCTCCAATCTTCCTCCAACCCTATGTGTACTGAATAGGAAACATCTTCGGCTATTGTTATATTCCATCTTCCCCCAAACTGAAAGTATTCTTGTCAGGACTGAATCGAACCAAAAAGACAAATTGCGTGCATTTCCAAACTGCTTTGGGGGGAAGACAATAGTCATGGACATGTAGA